ATTAGGCTTCACGCCTATAGCTCAAGTGGCTGGGGCACCAGCCACATACACCAGAGCTGGCGGGTTCAAATCTAGCTTAGGCTTGCCAAACAACAATGACAACTACAACCAAAAATAGCCGGGCGTTGTGGTGGGCACCTATTGTCCCCCTCTGTCTCAAAAAAAACCCCAAAACAAAACCCAGGCACTGTCTGTGGCTCAAAAGGGTAGGGCGCTGGCCCCATATGCCAGAGGTGGTGGGTTCAAACCCAGCCCCGGCAAAAAACAAACCAAAAAACTCCACAAAAAACCTAGATTAGTGCTGGCACCTAGTAGGGACCTGATAAATGGTCTTTATTGCTATTAGAAACATAACAGTGGGTTTTTTTTCTTACATTTTATTTATTTATTTATGTGTTTATATTTATTTATTTATTTATTTTAGACAGGAGCCTCAAGCTGTCCCCCTGGGTAGAGTGCTATGGCATCACAGCTCACAGTAACCTCCAACTCCTGTGCTCAAGCGAGTCTCCAGCCTCACCCTCCCGAGTAGCTGGGACCACAGGTGCCCGCCACAACGCCCAGCTATATTTCTTGGTTGCAGCTGTCATTGTTGTTTGGCGGGCCCAGGCTGGATTCGAACCCGCCACCTTGGGTGTAGTGGCTGGTGCCTTAGCCACTTGAGCCACAGGCGCCAAGCCTATTTATTTATTTTGAGACAGAGTCTCACTTTGTTGCCCTAGGTAGAGTATTATGGCATCATAGCTCACAGCAACCTCGATTCCAGGCACAAGTAATCCTCTTGCCTCAGTTTTTCATTTTTAGTAGAGATGAGGGTCTCACTCTTGCTCAGGCTGGTCTCAACTCAAGCAATCCACCTGCTGTGGCCTCCCAGAGTGCTGGGATTACAGGCATCAGCCACTGCCCCTGGCTTTGTTTATTTATTTATTTATTTTTTGAGACAGAGCCTCAAGCTGTCACCCTGGGTAGAGTGCTGTGGCATCACAGCTCACAGCAACCTCCAACTCTGGGCTCAAGCAAGTCTCCTGCCTCTGCCTTCCAAGTAGCTGGGACCACAGGCGCCCGCCACAATGCCCGGTTATATTTTGGTTGCAGCCATCATTGTTGTTTGGCGGCCCTGGGCTGGATTCAAACCCACCAGCTCCGGTGTATGTAGCTGGCACCTTAGCTGCTTGAGCCACAGGCACTGAGCCTGTTTATTTATTTTTAGAGACATACTCTTGCTATGTTGCAGAGTGCAGTGACTCACAGTTATAATTCTAGTGCACTATAGCCTTGAGGTCCTGGCCTTATGCGATCTTTCCATCTCAGTCTTTCAAGTAGCTAAGACTGTACCACCATGCCTAGTGCATAAACAATATTTTCTAACCATTAAAAATGCAGATTGCTGGGTGGCACCTGTGGCTCAAAGGAGTAGGGTGCAGGCCCCATGTGCCGGAAGTGGGTTCAAACCCAGCCCTGGCCAAAAACTGCAAAAAAAAAAAAAAAAAAAAAAAAAATACAGATTGCTAGGCTTCACCCTATACAGGCTAAGGAAAAACATGGGAATCTATATGATAGACAGATGGAAAATTCGGTGTGCGGAAGTAACCGCTTGAGCTAATGCCAACCCATAGATCTATATTATAACAAGCCACTAGGTGACTTCTACCAGGCAATTTTGGAATGCATCCAGGATCCTTCCCCTCTAACTTCTTGGTTTGGCCCTTTTGTCCTCTATACATCTGGCCCTGTATTCAGTAAAGCTTTAGCCTTTACTTAAAGGGGACGTGATTAAAAGGTCAAATACCATATATTCTTAAGGCAATATGTTCTGCACTTTGCATAGTAGATTTATTCCTGAAAAGCTGTTTGGAAATGGAATTTGTTGTGTGTATGCGTGTATGCGCATGTGAGAGAGAGCAGGCATATATTTAATACCTTAGTCTACTATTCAAAGGAATGCATTTAATTTAACTAAATAAATATCACCTGAATGACTGTTACACATATATATGGTTATACAATAACTAAGATGCAGGTCCTGTCTTTGAGGGCCTTACTTTGAGTCCAGTGAGGAAGATGGTTAAATAGGCAGTTACCAAACTGTGGTTAGATAAGATCAAGCAGGCTTAGTGCCCATAGCACAGTGGTTACAGTGCTGGCCACGTATGCTGAAGCTGTAGGTTCGAAACTAGCCTGGGCCAGCTAAGAAACAATAACAACTACAACAGAAAAATAGCTGGGCGTTGTGGTGGGTGCCTATAGTCTCAGCTACTTAGGAGGCTGAGGCAAGAGAATCGCTTAAGCCCAAGAGTTTGAGGTTGCTGTGAGCTGTGACTCCCCAGCACTCTACTGAAGGTGACATAGTGAGA